CATCAATGAGTCACGTGGCTGTGTTCGACTTGTCATAAGTTCGAACTCCTTATTTCTAAGTCGGTTCGGTGCGTAGAGGACATATGGTCCTTACATATGTGTAAAAGAAATACTCCCATTGAAATTCATAGAACCGTGGAGTGGCCTCGGACGAGGGCAATGATTGAATGATATTGCCTAAACCCCGCCGGGAATTGCCGCAGTCCCGCCGTGAGACGTACACGCAGTGTTGACATCGTGATGTGTAGCTGTCCTGCAATTGCAATGTGTTGCACTCGAAGATTGTCGATTTCCTCAGTACCAATAATCTCAACAGATTCTGTCCTCAGCAAGTTCTTACTGGGCATCATGGATGGGACGAGGTGACATCGAACTCTATCTACCCGTACAACTTGGTACTAAAAGGACGAAAATCGGGGCCTTCCCAAATATTGTTCACATCGGGAGGGTCTCTACAGCATCCATCTCCGGGCCACTCTTAGTAGGAAGTGCCATTAATTAGGCTACATGGCCAAGTCTATCTAAACACGTCAGTTCCTCCGCGAACACCGCTATACCAAACTCGGGGGATTAGCCTCTGACTCAGTCGTTTGTTCTTTTGCTTTTTATTGCTTACCGGCGCTGTTGTCACTGGTCAGGCCTCATACTCGCCTAGATTTTCAAAGGCCAAGCTGATGCGCTAGTAGTGTGCCTGCAAATTGATAATATTCAAATAGATAGTTCAACGTTCAGTGACCGCCTGGGCGGAGGCTTTAGCATTAATCTGACGTGCTCGATATTCGATCTGGAGTGAAAGGGCCTTTCGGTTTTCAGGGACACTATTATGCGTACGTTGAACGATGAATGCTCCTCTTAGTTCGGTGACTTATGCGAAAAGGCTACAATAGCTTACTAGTGCCAGTAACCAGTTGTGTCGATGAAGTTGCATGGTCGAGAACTTGTCGAGAACGAGCTAATAATTTGCAAAGTGCAGCTTCCAAACAAGGAAACTATTGGAAGCCTTTGGACAACAAACCAAAACAACGCATACGCTCGAGCCTCAGGTTGTTTCAAGAGGCGGCCTAGGCTGCCATTGGCAGCACAACTGATTGCCACGTAATTCTGATACTAATACGAACTTTGTGGTATGCGTGCAGCTTTACACCTCTCACAGAATTGTGATACAATCACACGTGTTGATATGCTGATTGAATATGTGATGTAAGTATCTTCAAGTAATCCAAAATGAAGATGTTGATGTTTAGTCCAGGAAACACTGCCCTCATATTATGATAACGAGGGTGTTATTGGCTGCGTGTTTTCATTTGCTATGTCTACAGCTAGCTCGTAACATTTCCAAATAAACGGTAATGTCAAACCATGGAAAGGTCTCCATCTGAAAATGTAGTTTTCGGTGTCCATTGATGTCAAGCCCTCAAATTCTCACCTCAACAGAAATGAATAGGCTGGGTTACGACACAATAGACAGCGAAGGTAAGTGTTTTTGCACGTTTACCACCAAACATGCAACTCACAATCTTACACTACATACTTTGTCAAACCTTCACACCGCCAATTCTCTACTGCGCAATATTCAGCTGTAATATACCGCTGCTCGCTTGTATTGAAGGTCTCTTGCGCCACCTCAAGCGGGTACCGCTGCCAAAGCTCGCAGTGGTGGTCGAGTGTGCCGTGGCCGTCCTTCACCAAAATCTCATTGTTACGATACTCCGAACCTTAATGGAGTTGTACTGGTACTGTTGCACGCACTTGTAATGTCATATCCTCTAGTAAAAAGTGCCAGTGCTTACTTCATCGTCACATGCATCTAGGTATACAAATGATGAGCGACGTGTAGTGGAAGTTTTGCGCTCTTGTGGATTGATGCACGCATGGTGTTTCAAAGCGTTTTAATAGACGCTCATTGAACGCCCCAGATATGTTTTCTATGGTGAAGTGACCCACGATTGCCTTTTTGCGACATGTTGTCGGGGCACAATGCTCGTCCACAGCCGTGCTTTGCCTAGCGCTGCTCCACACGTTGTGAGGTTAAAAGGATGGCGCTGTTCTATCCTTCACTTCACTATCTCTCTCATCCTCTTCACTTTTGCACTTCATATCAGCTACTTTAGATCACTTGATCAAATCATCGACACGCCTATCGATATCTCTATGTAAGTCTACTCACACGTCGACTTGATATCTTCATATGCTGATGGTGCCTTTTGCATTTATGTCCTCATACAGCAATCTTCAAATGTCATTGGATAGGTTAGTGTTCAATCTTGAGTATGATGATGCGGTCCATCTCATAATTTTCTTAGCGGGTCTATCCTTCCGAGCTCTCAACCTGGAATCCATACAGAAAACATCACTAGCACGGTCTCGGAAGACATCCCAGAGTTTCTTCGCGAACATGTGGCCGCTGAGTATGTGGTTCTGCATTCCAGATTTCTACTCGAACTGACGGCCTTTGGCAGATGGGCTCGGATGTGTGAGGAAGATGAATACCTAAAGACGTGCCATTGGTACGTGCCACCCCAACTGAGTGCCCGTCATTGCTCATTTATTTTTCCAGGTCTTCAGCGCCTTCACAGGGTGTTCAAGATAATCACATGTCGTTTCCGACGTTGAACCAGTTCACCGCTCCGGTAGCTGGTCTGCCCCAGCTTCCCCCAATGGATCCGATCCAACATCATCCTGCGCAGCCCTCTTCTGTCCTTCAAGCTTCGCTGGAAGGCCCCGCATGGTCCCAGCCTGGCTATAATGGTGGTTCGTATGCGAACGGACCTGATTTTACTCAAAATCATTCTCGTACTGTCGTCGACCTAGAGCTTTGGGCAGCGGGAGATCCCCGCGCGTATGACCCCAAACCGCCATTTCCCCAAGAGCAAAATGCGCATGCAATGACCAATTACAACGCTTTTTTGCCGGCCGTTTCAGACTCTGATGCGACAATGAGCGATCACAGTAGCTTCGAACCGTCTTCCTCTGCTTCCGATGGGACGGTGGGCGCCAAAACTCCCAAGCGCAAAACTCGTCACGCTGCTAAATCTGAGGACGGCAATCCGAGTTCGTCTCTTGCGCAAAGTCCGCGCAAGCGCAGATGCTTGGACGACGAAGAAGACGAAATAAGAGAAGGGAAGTTTGGTTTTTACAGACTAGCGGATGCCGATGCCGTAGTCATGGCTGCCCCCGTTCATGACCCGAAGCCTGTCGATATTAGTCGCCGCAGGACCCATGATGCCGATGGTAATCTTCTTCGAACGAGGACATTTGGCGCAATGGAACTCGACGATTCTTACCCTAAACGGTCTGTCAAAATTACGAATGAACTACCCGCAGGGATGACTTGCGTACGAGCATGCGGTTGGACGGACCAGCCCTGTGGGCTGTTTGTAGAAATGAACAAGACCCGCGTTGCACACCACCTGCTTCATTGGCACGGTGTCAAATCCACAGACATAGCTCCTTGCAAATTCGAGGATTGCTCAAGACCAGAGGCGATGCTCAATTTGGGCCGTCACATCGAGGGCGTCCATTATACTACGTCGTACGAATGCCCCTATTGCAACAAGCGGTGGTCGAGGACCGATTCTTTGGATCGGCACAAGGAGAAATGTGGACCGCTCCTTGAGAGCAAGGCCCGCGCTCAGAAGGGACGTCGCAACTTCAGTCTCCAAGACCCAAAGAAGTTGGTCTATGGGTATATTGTTCCTGCCCGCAATGCGACATGATCTAGTGTACGACTGTACGTCCCCATTGGCCTGTATCTGTCGCTACTGCTAACTTTCTGTTGCAGTGATCTAGTATCTTCTCCAATTTTTCACGAGCTTTCTCTCTCTACGACTACGACACTCGTTTCATTCTATCGCATATATGTTTGGCCAAATCACTTCATATCATTCACACTCCTTTGCATCGAATTTTCTTTCTTCTTAGTGTACTTTCCTTTCCTCGTTATCGCTTGGTGCATCTTCTATATGCTTATTAGATAAACATTATGCACGTTAGGTGTAGCTATCGTATCTCATTATGTCGCTTGTATATATGCAATATGCGTGTTGTATGGATAGAGCTCGGAGCTTTGCGTTGTACTTATTGAATGAATATGACATATTGCATTGTATTACTGACACCGCAATGGTTTGACAACTTTCATGCATCCCTCTCAATTATTAGCTTGAACGATTCTTGGATCCTCGCGATCGACTGATTTGTATTCGATACTCACGCCAATCTAACCTAAGCTTTAGTTCTGTGACCTTCTGGCCATTGAATAATTCTGTCACACTACGGCTGCTTGACATCCAATTCAAGCACCGAGACGATGACCAAAACCTCACGATGATACAATCACGGTGCACGAGGAAGTGCTGGCTTGGTACTCAGCCAGTCACCGAGATCAATGCTCGGCGCTCAACTTTGAATAGCGTTCTCAGCGAACTCGGAAGCATGCTAGGCTCCAATAAGATCATCATCAGTACATTAAACAAGATATTAGATACATACCAGAATGTTACAAAGTTGTGATCGTGCGATACGAAGTTCGTACTTTACAAATTGTGATGCAAAAGTGCAAAGAAATGTGACGCAGCGACACGTGCTTCAGCGTTGCTGAAGAGTATGGGATCCCGCTCAGCACGTTGCTCGCGAACAACCCGAACGTGGGCCCCGACTGCACAAGGCGTACGTTGGCGAGGTAAGTAAAATGTGATTTATCGAAGTCATTGCTGATAAAAGAATTTCAGGTTCTCTGCACTGCAAGCCAGATCTATGTGAACACTACCACATCAAATTGAGCTCAGAAGATAACTAAGACTTGAACGTTCTGAGCAAGTACTGAGTCGGCGAGTCAATGAGTGCTCTCGGTGGCAGTGGGACGTTGGAAGGAGTGAATTCCCAACGTGGATTCGGTAGAGGATAGCCTGAGTTATGTGTAAAAGAAATCCTCCCATTGAAATTCATAGAACCGTGGAGTGGGCATGATGATTGTTTGGACTTGTTATTCCCCTCATCATGTAAATATCAAAATAATCACGCATCACTTTCTAACAGCCAAGTACGTACTAGTATGATTTTGTGCTAGCATTTTGTCTCCCCCCACTCTATTATAACGCCTCTAAATGTCTGTTCTCTGTCCACCGACAACATACCTTCCACCGATCGCCAAGATCGCGAGTTTCTCTGCCACCCAGCTTCTCGATGCCTTGACATATCTACAGTCACTTTACCATCCAGAAGTCCGTGGCTCGCGTCGCAAACGTGCGCAGGTGCCTATGTCTAATGGAGAGCAAAATTTACGCCTTCGCCATGAAGATGATGGTCAACTTGAACTCCACGCTATCAGATCTGACGCATTCGAGCGCTCGTATTCCATTCGGTGGCTTACCACTCTTATCGCACAGCTCGAAGTCTGGCAAGACTTATCACATTCCAAAAAAGTCTCATTGGATGATCTCGGGATACCAGGGCATAGTTTGGCTCACACAGAGATGATCGTTCAACAAGCCGCGTCGCTACTCGCGATTTGTGCTGGGGTTGCTGCTGCTGGAATGATTACCCGTCACTTTATTTTTAATTCCATAGACGGGCAGAGGCGAGTGGAAGCTCAGCTTACAGACATTCCGCTGGACAATAATGATTACGGAAGTGTGGGAGCGCAGACATGGGGCGGGGCATGTGTCTTGGCAGAAATGATTGTGGATGATCCTGAGCGGTTTGGACTGGATTCTTCTCACTGCACCGAATCACGCAGGCTTAACGTCCTTGAGCTTGGAGCAGGAACAGGGTTGGTTAGCGTAGTGGTTATGAAGTTACTGGATAGATTGCCATCTTCCAACCATCGCGAGGTTCATGTAGTTGCGACCGATTTCCACCCCTCCGTATTAGCCAACCTCAAGTCAAACGTTAACGCGAATGTCCCCTCCACGCATAATCAAATTACCCCGACACATTCCGTCACCACTCATTTCCTCGACTGGTCATCATTCTCTACTGCTCCTCGACCAGATTGTCTTTCGTACCCATTTGATGTGATTCTTGGTGCAGACATCATATACGAAGCTCAACACGCGGTCTGGATCAGGGACTGTCTCAAAGGGCTCATGCGGCGTCCTTCTGATAGCACCATATCTCCCGCTGCTTTTCATCTCGTGATACCACTTCGTTCAACACACACATTCGAGTCAAGCACGGTTGAGTCCGTCTTTCTCAAGGCATGTGATGCGGATCTCGTCATACTCTCGAAGGAATTTATTGCATGTGATGCATATGGTGATTATCCGCGAGGACAAGGTTCAATTGATGAAGATGTGGAATACATTTATTATAAAATTGGCTGGTTTAATGCACGATTGTAGAATCATAGAATCTAGATCACACAGAATTGCTAAATATCGTGTTTTCCTGACATTTTAGTGACATGGTCAGTGGTCACGCAACGAGAATCAAGTGTTTGTCTCAAATATCCAGACCTCCCTGTCTAATCCTTGTCAATTAGGTCTACCGGGTAGTTGTCGGTAGGGTAATCGAGATAGGTTTGTCTCGGGTGTCGAGACCACTCCTAATCAATTATGCATGTCTATATACAGGGTCCGAGGAATTATCAGGAATCCCAGTACGATGTGTCATCAGACCACACGAGCGTCAGGCTCGTTCCTGCGCAAACGCCGCGCGTACCATATGATCGTATCTATTTACTCAGTCCAAGGATTTTGAGTCACACAGAGTCGAAAGAAAGACGGCAAATGCTGGCCGTCAGAAGACCAGTGTTCGTCCTTCGAGGGTATAAAGGCAGCTAGAAAAGTCAGCTTAAAGGCATCAAACATCACTCACTTGTGTCTGGACCTCCTCACCTGAACATCATGCACGCTTCATTCTTCACCGCCAGACTCGTTGCACTCGCCGTCATTGCCTCAGTTGTTTCTGCTAAGGGTCAGTAATCTTCGAGGTTCGAGTATGCCAACATTTGAAACAGCAAAACGTCTAGATGCCCTCCCTGCTGATTGTGACCGTACTGCAACTGTCAAAGCTGGAGAGACATGTAGCGACATTTGCGCAAAATACGGCGTTCCCACGTACGCACAATCAGGTACCTTCCGTTCACCGGTTCATCGAACGTATGCCACAGATACCAGCTGGCGGCAGTTAACAAAGGCGTCATTGACCCCACCTGTACTAATTTGGTTGTCGATCAAGTAAGACATTCCAAGGTTTGAAAAATACTTGGACTCATCGTCATAGGTTTTATGCCTTGGAATCAAAGGCCATGATTGCAAAGCTACCCATGTTGTCAAGAAAGGCGAGACATGCCACAGCATTGCAGATGCAAATGATATCGAGTTCGACACGTTTATTTTGAACAACCTGAGGGAGGGCTTCAACTGCACTTACATGAGGCCTGCCGAGGTGAATAAAATAAGATTTATTGAATTCATTGCTGATGAAAGAATTTCAGGTTGTCTGCATTGAGACCGAGGTCATTAGGAGGAAATAATCAAGTTGAGCCGAGAAGCTGGAAGTGGGGAAAGACAAATGTTCCTGGTTGACAATAGACTATGGTATATATAGGCTGAATGTTATACACCGGACTTTGAGGCAAAATAATAGCAGCTATTATTTTTGGAAAATCTCATGTAATCACCAAATGATCCTAATGTAGTGCGTTCGTCCCGTTTTCTATGAATTGAACCATCTGGATCATTATTTTCACAATGCCTCATGTACCATTAAGTCCCTGCGCGCTCGCAGTATGCCGTGGGCACTCATCGTCACTTCTCATGATGACAGTGGACATGACAGACTGCTGTGCTGACTCAGAGCACTTAGTGATGGACAGGTCCGGTTCGGTCCAGTTCTCAGGCAAATTCTGAGAACCACAAACCTGACCATAGGTTCGGTTCTCCCAGTGAGCAGAACCAAGGACTGGACCATCAGTTCGGTCTGGTTCTGGTTCAGCAAGGGTTTGAACCGAGAACTGAACCATCCAAAATAATAAAAATTTCATCAAGAAAAATCATATAAACGAAACATGCCTGACAACAGAAGTACTAATACTAAACGCTACTAGACCAGTTCACCATCCTCGTCATCTGTGTTGTCATGGAGTGCAGCAATCAATGAATCCAGATGTTGCTCGGCATCACTAGCAGCAGAGATATGGCCATTGCGGTATGAGTCCCTTCAGTGAACTAACCTGTCTCAGACGGGCAGCCAAGGGTGACAATGTACCAAGGCAGATGGGCCATCCCACTGGGCCCATGGCTGAAATTGTACCTATATATATGGGTGGGCCGAGTGTAGTGTGTAGCCAATTGAAAGGGATGGGCCAATGGCAGTGTGTACCCAATTGAAAGGGATGGGCCGAGTGTAGTGTATACTGGATGGAAAGGGATGGGCTGAATATAGTAAATGGAGTATACAATGGAGACGAGTGGGCTGAGGGATTCTTAGGTACAATAGAGATGGATGGGCCGAAATACAGTGGGCTGGAAAAGGAGGTGCCAACCAGATCCGGTCATAGGTAGGGCTGTAGCACTGGTCCATGCAATGTCACCGGTTGCCTCACTTTGTAAAATGGTCAACATTTGACCGAGATATTTACACATTAATATTTGATGTTAGAATACCAGGTAGTGAAATACCGGCCGGAATATACCAGCCAACCGGATCTGGTCATAGGTAGGCTTGTAGCACCGGATCATGGGATGCCACTGGTTGTCTCACTTTGTAAATCGGTCAATATTTGACTGAGATATTTCCACATCAATATTGGATGTTGGAATACCGGGTAGTAAAATACCAGCCAGAATATACCAGCCAACCGGATCTGGGCATAGTAGGCTTGTAGCACCAGGGTCATGGGATGCCACCGGTTGTCTCACTTTGTAAATCGGTCGATATTTGACTGAGATATTTGCACATCAATATTTGAGGTTACAATACTGGGTAGTGCAATACTGGCTGGAATATACCAGCCAACCGGATCCAATAATGAATGGGCTTGTAGCACCGGGTCATGGAATGCCACCGGTTGTCTCACTTTGTAAATCTGTCAATATTTGACTGAGGTATTTGCACATCAATATTGGATGGTAGAATACTGGGTAGTGAAATACCAGCTGGAATATACCAGCCAACTGGATCCGGTTATAAGTAGGCTTGTAGCACCGGATCATGGAATGCCACTGGTTGTCTTACTTTGTAAATTGGTCAATATTTGATTGAGGTATTTGCACATCAATATTGGATGGTAGAATACTGGGTAGTGAAATACCGGCTGGAATATACCAGCCAACCGGATCTGGTTATAAGTAGGCTTGTAGCACTGGATCATGGAATGCCACTGGTTGTCTTACTTTGTAAATCTGTCAATATTTGACTGAGGTATTTCCACATCAATATTTGAGGTTACAATACTGGGTGTTACAAGAACATCTAGATGCTTGGGCCCCTACCATTTTTCTCCTTACCCTGACCTTGCTCTTGTTATCCTTGTCATCCTTGCATTCCCCTTTGCTCTCTACCTGTCACTCCAGCAGAGCCAGTACATCTGGCCAGTCCCTATCTCTGACGAAGCATACCCATGCTCCGTTCCACATGATGACTGATCCTATGGACAGTCCCCTTTATCCTTACCGTCTGGACAGTAACCTATGATATGATGCATGCCGCATCCCCTTTGCCCTGTTTCCTTTATTGATCTATGACTCGGTGCATAGTCACACATTGTACTTATACTTAGATCTGCAGTTGCATGATCGTGCCCCTGCTTGTTTCACTTCCTGTTCTGTTCTTTGACTCATTTCTTATCTGCACGTTCCAGTTCGCCTATGACTCACCTCGAATGTGCCTTCCTTTTCTAGTATTGCCCTTTGACCAGTTCCTCTTCCGGTAGTACGAGTTATCATCCACTAATATGCTTCCTCTCCTCTATATAAACTCGCTACCATGTATCTAGTTCCTTAACTTGAATCTACTTGGTTCTTGACCTCCTACTCTCACCAGAGTGATTCCTTCTGCCTAGCCAGCAGTCTATATTCTACTTTCTTATCTGCTCATTGTGGATAAGTCTTTAGTTTCGATCTTTACTCATCAACTTTGTTGACGAGCAAAGCCCCTGTTAACTAGTTGGACTTCTGTCCTTCTATTAACGCAGATCTTATGATTAACTTTCGGGTGTTATAAGCCTTGGCAGATACACTTATTGTTGAGCCCTGCTTGACATAAGCTACCCGATTTGGACATAGGCATTAAACCTTGCTTGCCAAAGCCTCACCAAGAAAGACTCCTAACTCTGGGTTAGCCTAGAGACATCCTCAACCGTTGATAACACACACTCTGTTTGAGTGTTGCTAACAGACACTATCCAAGTTCTGGTCATAGACAGGCTTGTAGCACCGGATCATGGGAATCCACTGGTTGTCTTACATTGTAAATTGGTCAATATTTGATTGAGATATTTACATATTGAGATTAGATGTTCCAATATCAGGTAGTGGAATATCGCCTGAGATACAAAAGCTAACCTGATCCGGTCATATGTAGGCTTGTAGTACCGGATCATGGGATTCCACCGGTTGTCTTACATTGTCAATTGGTCAACATTTGATTGAGATATTTAAACATTAATATTTGATGTCACAATATCAGGTAGTAGTAATACCGGCTGAGATAAAAAAGGCTGACCTGATCCAGGTCATAAGTAGGCTTGTAGCACCAGGTCCATGGAATACCAGCTTATTTATAACAACAACCTTTGCCTGGTCATAACTCAATATCTAGAGACAGTCCATATGATGTTACTGGTGGTCTTGTTTTTGAAATCACTCAATATTTGCTCGAGATCAATGTATCTCGATATTCTATGTTACAATACTCAGCAGTTGTGACATATAACTGATAAGCAACTAAAACATTACAAAAGTGCTATATTTCCAATCAGATCACTGCAACATGTTTTTAATGCACAGTCTTACAGGATCTGAGATATTTATCATGATTCATTAACAATTAGAGACAGTGCAATGGAAATACAATTCATGCATACATTTGTGGCTGGCATTAAAGCAGTGACAGTAGTGCGTTACTGATGAACTTTGGTATCACAAATCTTACTCTCATTACTCTGCCTCTAATTATTGATCGATCATTATGAATATCTCAGATTTTCTAAGACTGTATACTAGAAATGTGTTCTAATTCTCTGATTAGACATATATAATTTCAGGAATGTATCAGATGCTTATCAGCGATATGTCAAATTTGATACCTTTGTCACTTTTACTGTCCCTCACTTGTGATATGTCATTTTGCTCATTGTTGAGTCATTTTTGGACGGATCCTTTTGATAATTTAGATTCATACTGCAACATACAGCACATGAGATCTTCAAGTCCAATCTCTTACATATTATCAAAGAATGACTGCAGACTCTTATCAGTATAATATATCATTGTCTGTTGTATTCCATATGTTTAGGATATATCTTACTGATCTTTCACATAGAAAGGCTGCCTGTTATGGACTTGGATAGTATCTGTTGGCGACGCTCAAACAGAGTGTGTGTCGTCAATGGTCGAGGACGTCCCTGGGCTAGCCCAAGGTTAGGGGTCTTACTTGGTGAGGCTTCGGCAAGTAAGATTTAACACCTATGTCCAAATCAGGTAGCTTATGTCAAGCGGGGCTCGACAATAAGTGCATCTGCCAAGGCTTACAACACCTGAAGGTTAATTGTAAGATCTGCATTAATAGAAGGACAGAAGTCCGACTAATAGCAGGGGTTTTGCTCAACGACAAAGTCGATGAGTAAAGATCGAGACTAGAGACTTATCCGCAATGAGCAGATAAGAAAGTAGAATATAGACAGCTGGCTAGGCAGAAGGAATCACTCTTGTTAGGAGTAGGAGGTCAAGAACCAAGTAGATTCAAGTTAAGGAACTAGATACATGGTAGCGAGTTTATATAGAGGAGAGGAAGTGTATTAGTGGATGATAACTCATACTACTGGAAGAGGAACTGGTCATAGGGTGGTACTAGAAAAGGAAAGCATGTTCGAGGTGAGTCATAGGCGAACCAGAATGTGCGGATAAGAAATGAGTCAAAGAACAGAAACAGGAAGTGAAACAAGCAGAGGCACAATCATGCAACTGCGGAGCTAAGTATAAGTAAAATGTGCGACTGCGCACCGAGTCATAGATCAAGAAAGGAAACAGGGTAAAGGGGATGCAGCGTGCATCGTATCATAGGTTACCGTCTGGACGGTAAGGGTAAAGGGGACTGCCCACAGGATCAGTCAATGGGTGGAACGGAGCATGGGTATGCTTCGTCAGAGAAAGGGTCCAGCCAGATGTACTGGCTCTGCTGAAGCAACAGGTAGAGGGCGAAGGGGAATGCGAGGATGACAAGGATAACAAGAGCAAGGTCGGGGTAAGGGTGTGATGCAAGGGCGGAGACGAGGAGGATAAGGAGAAGAATGGTAGGGGCCCAAGCATCTAGATGTTCTTGTAACACTAGATATCTCAATCAAAAATAGTCTGATTTACAAAGTGAGACCACCGGTGGAATCCCATGATCTGGTGCTACAGGTCTGCATATGACCGGATCAGGTCGGCTTTTTGTGTCTCAGCTGGTTTTACACTACCTGATATTGTGACATCAAATATTTATGTTTAAATATTTCAATTAAATGTTGACCGATTGACAATGTAAGACAACTGGTGGAATCCCATGATCCACTGCTACAGGCCTGCCTATGACTGGATCATCAGCTTTTTTATTTATCTGAGCCAGTATTCCACTACCTTATATTATAACATCACATCTTGAAGTGCAAATATCTCAATCGGCAATTGACTGATTTACAATAGTAAGACCACTGATGGAATCCCATGATCCAGTGCTACAGGCCTGCCTATGACTGGATCAGGTCGGTTCCTTTTATCTCAGCCGGTATTACACTACCCGGTATTGTAATATCAAATATTGAAGTACAAATATCTCAGTCAAATGTTGACTGTTTTACAAAGTAAATTACCTGGTGGCATCCCATGACCTGGTGCTACAAGACCATTCATTACCAGATCCAGTTGGCTGGTATATTCCGGCCGGTATTTCACTACCTGGTATTCTAACATCAAATATTGAAGTAGAAATATCTCAGTCAAATATTGACTGATTTACAAAGTGAGACAACCGGTAGCATCCCATGATCTGGTGCTACAAGCCTACCTATGACCGGATCTGGTTGGCACCTCCTTTTCCAGCCCACTGTATTTCGGCCCATCCATCTCTATTGTACCTAAGAATCCCTCGGCCCACTCGTCTCCATTGTATACTCCATTTACTATATTCAGCCCATCCCTTTCCATCCAGTATACACTACACTCGGCCCATCCCTTTCCATCAGGTACACTACACTCAGCCCATCCCTTTCAATCAGGTACACACTACCATCGGTCCATTTCTTTCAATTGGCTACACACTACACTTGGCCCACCCGTATATATAGGTACAATTTCAGCTATGGGCCCAGTGGGATGGCCCGTCTGCCTTGGTACATTGTCACCCTTGGCTGCCCATCCGAGATGGGATCCAGTTACTGTATTATGTGGTGGTATGCACTCTTCAACAGTTGCAAGTTCTCGAATACATTCTTGTTGAGATGGTTCCATCATTTGGTTCCCATTAGTCCACCACTTGAAAAGGCATGCTCTGATGCTGTGCTCCTACCCTGCATCAGGAAACCTACAATTCTGCTGAATATCCTAACTTCTCTGTATTACTGATATCAGTAACAATCAGTACCAATCAGCACACATCAGTTGTGCAGATATATCAGATTATTAGACCAACAAAATTACAGAGTGTCCAGGGATGTTAGACTTCAAAAGAAAGTTATACAGTCACTCAGAACATCAGCTTTTCTGATATTAGTAACAATCAGTAACAATCAGCACATATCAGTTGTGCAGACACATCAGATTATCAGACCAAAAAAATTACAGAACATCCAGGGATATCAGACTTTCAAAAAAAAAGTTAGTCAGTCATTCAGCAATATCAGCTTGATTAGCCTCTAGATTATCAGAAGGTACAGATATACAATTCTGCAGTTTATACAATTTCCTATCACTCAGTACTCAATAGATCTCAGTGACTTACCACTGCCAGAAATTTGAGGTTGTCTAAATTGAGAATCAATGAATGACAGTTTGCAAACCAAATGACACCATATATAGTATGTCAGGCACAAGTGCAGACATCTGCACTAGCGCCCCATTGCCTAATTAGGAAATGCCTGCTCACCACATGCTACAATCAGCTCAACATTTAACATGTTTGTTCATTACCTAATGATGTACAATACTGATTCTTGAATAGTTATATTAGATAGATAGATATTAAAATAAGCTCTATTGTATTGTATTATATGCATACAATATATATACTACATTATTACACTAATGTGGATGTACCATAGTGTTGCAGGGACTTAGTGAAATTTCGCATTTTTGATGATATAAGCAGTCATGTGATGTTGGTTGAAGTTAGGTGGGAAAGCTTATGTAATCAAAAATGTGTTCAATGGTCCAAGTCTTTTGACATTGTTCAAGTCTTCTTGCCTTCTTCTCTTTCTCTCCTTTCAATCTTTTTCTTTCCCCACCCTTACTCTTAGGTCAGGCTCCTAGATATTCAAGTTGGGATATGTTGGTGTTGATGTGAGTGTTGGTGTGGATGGGACTTTGGAATTGGTGCCCTGGTGAGTCACTTATCCCCTCTCCTATTATCTCCTCTAAAGACTGACCCTGTTCACTTCTAGCTTATATATTTTCGCATTTTTGATCCTTTTCGTGAATCACTTATCTCCTCTCCTCTGAAGACTGACTTTCTGCTCACTTCTAGCCTATATATTTTCGCATTTTTGGTGTTTTTGGTGGGTCTCTCCTCTCTTCTCCTTCAAAGACTGACTCCCTGCTCATTTCTAGCCTATCTATTTTCACATTTTTTAGTCTTTTCAGTAAGTCTCTTCTTTCTCTAACCTCTTTTTGGCCTCTATTTTCGAATTTTTGTCTATTTTAGTGTCTCTCTTAGTCAGTAGTATAGATGCCAATGTAGTAGTTACTTTGAATATGATTTTTGTATTTTTGATATTTTGACCATTACAATGTCCTGATGTTATGTGATGTGCTGTGGGGCTGTTATACAAACTAAACTACATATCTGATGTATTACATCTCTTAGAAACTGGCACCCTGAATTATACACAAACAGTACCTCTGGGTGTCTGTGGAGCTGTTCACCACTGATTTCAGGCATGGCACTGATTTCAGCAATTGCTGCATGACTGCATTACCTGTATGTCTGATATCAGACAGTTCAGTAGGGGACAGCAACATCAGCAGAATTGTAGGTTTCCTGATGTGTGCTCACAAACCATTTAATTGAAGGACAAGGTCTGAGAACAATAGTAGTGTGGGTGAAGAGAGCGGAGTGGGCAGAGAGAACTCCATGTTGACAAAAGGAAGGTGCAGGAGGATAGTGTGGGTATAGAATGAGCAGCCTGAGGACAGGCTTAATATGACGGGTACAGAATGAGCAGCCTAAGGACAGGCTCAATACGACAGGTGTGGTGGAGAACCTCAACCACAGCGTAGCGTGCTGCATGCAGGAGGGGCTCAATGTTGGTGTTGAGAAGGACAGGTGGCAGAGACTCAACATTGATGTTGAGAATGATGGGCAGCGGAGGCCCGATGTTGATGTTGAGAGGAACAAGCAGCAGGAGTCAACTATTTGCATTGAGAGGGAGCTCAGTGTTGGCATTGAGCAGAGGCAGGAGGACAGTGTCAGTGAGCTCAATGTTGAGGAGACAAAGTCATGGTGATAGTTTATATAGCTCGGCTGTATGTTATTAATGTTGATAATACATTAGTTAATACTGTCGGCTGGTTCCGATAATAACTTACAAGGTACAAGGTAAAAGATAATTTGGGGCAGAGTTTAATGCTGGTGTTGGGATTTAACGCAACCAAGGCAAATATTACTTAGTGAGGTGCTTGATCGCCCAGCATAGTAATGCTTACTTATTGGGCAACCCAGGTGTGCGAATTTGACGAATATCACATGATGTGACCATAGTGTGACATGCTTATAAGATGATGATGCCGGAGTGGCAAACACTGTGCAGAGTCACAATTAGGAGTGCAGTAAGTAGACAAGATGATGGTACTTATTTTGGTATGATATGTACTGTATGTAGATCATGTATAATATATTACCTTGAGTTAGGTAGAAGCCAGAAATCTCGAAAGTTTGAGTTGTCCATCCATCCATGCCGGCCCCGCCTGTCCCACCTGTCCTGGAAGTTCTGGACAACCTGAACAGATGGGTTGCCGAATTCCAACATCTGAAAATTTCCACCATGCAGGCATCCCTGTAGAACTGTCACATCAGACAGCATGCAGAATTCACAGACAATGTGCACAAGAATGTATTTTGGCGGTGGGCCAACTTATCTATCAACACCAAGGAGCCTTGGTTGACTTATACTGAATGGGCTGCTACTTATGGTATGTGGTCAGATAGTACTATGGCACATATGTGGTGCAGATCATTATATCAGGAGACTTGTTTTTCATGCAACTTCTAGGGCAGGAAGTCTTAGTGATCAATTCTCAGCACACTGCAGAAGCATTGCTGAACAACCATTCTCACATAGTAAGCAGCATATGGTGAGCATCTTTCATTATAAAACATATTAGGTCTGTCCTAGGCATTAATATTTACAGACTACTTCAGTCTTGATGGTTTTTGCTCTTGCCATGGTGTCTTACCCAGATGTTCAAAAATGTGCACAAGCTGACCATATGTACGCCTTGCATGACACATTCCATGAGCGAAGTCAAACTGACAAAAATTATATCCATACCTGATCACTAGCCAGTATGATCACTAGCACGAGCATGTTTGTACTACATGTCCATGCTGGCCCCGCCTGTCCTGGATGACCCAAACAGATGGGTTGCCAAATTCCAATATCCATAAATTTCTGCCATGCAGGCATCCTGAATACATCCTGTAGACTGTCGAATCAGATAGCGTGCAGAATTGACAGACGATGCACACAAGAATGTATTTTGATGGTGGGCCAATCAGATGTGAGTTATTTTATCATAAATACCCTCCCCAGACCCCTGCTCATCGTCATTTTCCTTTGTTCCTGCCCTCACTAGCCATTCAGCATATCTAATCTTCCTCTATCCCTGCTCTTGTACCTATCCTTGTTGATACTTGCTCAGTCCTGCCATTATGCCTTATGGACCTCGCCCAGAGTGGATCGTCATGTGCGGCACTTGTCATAGAGATCTCGAATGGTTCATTTGCAAGACTAATGCCAATGGAAACAAAGGAAAATGGATGGCTCGTGTAAGTACTACTCATTTTTGCTTGCTGGCATCAGACAGTCAGAGCTAATATTGCTTCAGTGTGTTGTGGGCGAATGTTGCTTTTTCCACAGTGCATATGGTCAAAACGGCATGCCACTGCAATCACCTGAACTCTCCCAAGGCAAAATCACCTTGCAGTCACCACCTCAAAAGAAATGTTGCAGGGCTAAGGCCAAGTGCTGTATTTGTGGCTGCTCCATTATTCATATTAATGTAAAGTGTGGGCAGGGTGTCTGTGCAAGACACTTTCATGGACTTGGCGGCTGTGGTCTCAAAGACCATGCACCATTGGACAAACCCCTCGCTGATGATAATGATCTTCAACAAGATTCTCACTTAGACAGAGATGTTCTTGAACTGTCTGATAATCCAGTATGTACTAGTTTGACTTTAACACATACCAGAGAACTTACTGCCATGCTCCTCACAGACCAAGGAGGAGGAAGATCAGCTGATCTCGCCTCCCCCTCCTGCTCTGGAACTTCCTTCTGCACCAGCAGCAGGTCCATCTAATGCCAAGAGCAAGAATCATGCTCTGGATCTTCCTTCTTCTCTAGGCTCAGCAGCAGGACATTCTCATCACATTCAGTCCAAACCTCCACCTAAGTCTATGTCAAACATACAACCCAAGCATTCTTTGCAGCTTCCACCCTTCTTTACTGCACAGCTGGAGCGGAAACATCATCTGGATGAGAAACAGCATCAGTATGGTGCTACTCGCATCAAGAGTAGTTAGCGTGCAAAGTACAGTGTCACCATACATGCATTTATCCAGGTATGATCTCTTTTATGCCAACATTATTTGTGTTAAAGACCTGTAACAGAATGGTGAACCACCATCATCCTTTGTCTTCCAGACAGGATTCCAATGGCTGCACTTCTACCTTATGTATGAGGTGCTCCGTGAGCTCGATCTACCTGCTACCAACCTCGATGACATTGGAGATGCTTACCAGCCATCTAAGCTATATCTTTTTGATCTGAGTGCAGGGGCTTGGCGAGGGATCCACCAGGATCATATGATCACACTAAAAAATCACAATGAGTCCTTGATTCTCAGAGCGTCAGATGTGACTGACTGTGCTGGCCTTGATGTACTCCTGCAATCACAAGCAGCATTGTTGGTTGATCCCGCAGTTCTGAACATCTGTGAGCACCTTCATGCTGATCATGCAAGTGTTCACATTGCTAACCGTGCCTACAAACAAGCTCCAGTAAAGCCAGAGCGAGCCGAGCTAGCTCTTCCAACTCGCCTGCATTTGTCACCTTCAAGTCCAGCCTTATCAAGTGAACTTGAGGTGGAAGCCCTCCTCAAATGTGCCCCTGCACAAAGTATCAGTGCAAGCCCTGTGCACCCCTCTGCTTCTCCATACCGACAACTTGTTTGCTCTGACTCAGTTGAAGTCGTTCAGCCTATTTACCTATCACCATCACCTCCACGTCTGTCACAGTCACCCTCACCTCCATGCCTTTGATGGTGACTCTCAGTGTGGCATCCATCACCATCCCTACCTGCACAACATCTACCAAGTCTTGCTCCCAGTCTCACTCCGCCTCCATCTCAAGGGTCCGCTTGGACATCACATGACAACACATCTTCAGATGCTATAGACCTTGATGATATCAAGGTGTGGCCAGCTGACTTCCATGTTGTTGATGTGGTAGAGGGTTTTTGTGGCTGCAAGATTGCCAGAAAGACAAGGAGGGTCAGTGTTTAAAAAATGTTTGAAACTTACTTCGGTATTCCCTTCAAGAAGACAACTTTCCATGAGCACCACATATGCTGTTTCAGGGCCCCACAGGCCTTATGCGATAAGTACCTTAGAGCTCATTGAACAGACCATGGCCTTTGGTCATCTTTTATGCATGAGTATCGTGTGCAGGGCTAATGTAAGAGTTTGCGCACATTAGTAATTATACACCCTATGATGTTTTTATGTCGGCTTGTTTGTTTTTGTTTTGTATCATATATTATATAATGAAATAGATTTACTGGTATTACAGACAGAGCCGACGAGACTCGTTGTAGTAGAAAGAGTGCTGATGGACAATGAAGATGTATTGCGTGAAACTGGGAGGACTTTATGGGTAAACATAGGTGTACAAGCAAAAGAAAGGCCATGTGATATGTGAACACTACTACTGTTATTCTAGTGAAGTATCAAGTAAGGACCAGGTAAAGGGTTTGCAGTTCCCTTTCCTCAGCTTCTCCAGTGTGACCTTATTCCTGCATGAGATCATCACATCCAAGAAGAAGTCGTACTTCTCTGGCTTCATACCCAGTGTTATAGGGTTATACTTGCTAAACCATGCATTTGTCTGTTCACAGGCAGATGAATTGAAGTACCATGTCCCATGGTCACCAGTAAGCTCAGGAAATGCAGCTGGGTTTTAGTTCTCTTGACAAAATCCTCCAGTATTGCCTTACAAAGTGACAGAATACGCTCCTCCAAATCCAAGGCTCAAATATTTGAACCTTTGGAATGCAATGGAAAACCTTGAGCCAAGAACTACAGCTCCTGCTCCTGCCGCCGCTCCTACTCAAAGCTCGAACATGCCGTCGAATGAACATGAGCCATACAGAGCATAGCCCATGTAGAGGAACAAAACTCAGAGCATTTGGAATAATGCTTAGTTCAGCATGCCCATTGGTGTGGCTGTTAATCTAGATAGAGTGAACAAAAACAAAAACACAGAAAGGTCAAAATATGTGGATGTGGTGGAAGGGGAAGTGGAGCTCCACTACTTAGCCTCAGGGCAGGGTCGGGCCAGACCAGGCTTCATAGGGAGGGGAGTTCAAGCAATCCAAAAAGAACAGGCACTCACTGAACTACAAGTGTGTCTGTCACAGTTGAAATATATAACACTATGGCTGCATATGCAGCCTGGCCACTGTGTGGAAGAAAATGGAGGGGTATAGAAGGGTGTTAGTTAGCTGCATCACCAAGGCCTCGTTTTCTACAATTAGGACAGCCAGAACATCCAGAACAGATGGGACAGGTGGGACAGGCCAACACAGATGGATGGACAAACCAAACTTTTGAGTTCCCAGGTTTCTTCTGAATTAGAGGCCATTAAGCATTCAGGCTTCAGGAAGGATCTGATGCCCTCAATACTTCTTCACAGCCCATGCCGCTTGAGCTCCATTAAGGCCATCCTTATAAGCATCAATAAATCTCTGGAATTGCATAGCAAGTCTGTTCAAGGAAAGAACAAATAAGACAAATGAAGAATCCAGGCACAAAAAACCACTCACCAATGAAGGTGAATCAACTCAGCTGTTGGTCAAATGATAAATGCAAGGGAGGGACACAAGAAGCTGATATAGTGATCAGTGCGATGCCTCGTCTGCTATGCTTGCAGGGACAAGTGCATTCAATCCGAGGGGAAGCAAGGAAGATAAATCCACAGTCATGCAGCAGCTGTGCAAAGCGAGCGACACATGCGCAAAGCATAGGAATGCAAAATGTGAAATAGCGGGAATGCAAAATGTAATGAGCAATGGACAAGGGCTCAATGAATGACTACTAAAAGCTGCTAATAAATTCTGAATCTGGCTATGGACATCATGGGGGAACTCTACTAAGGTAAGGAGTGGTGTAATGTGGTAAAGGGTAAAAAATGTGGACCTATATGTGTGTCTCGCTAAGTGAGCTGAGTGTGAGATAATGTATGTAATAGGGTATGTAAGTCAGGGTCCATGCTCTAATATGGTGCCATATTGAATAAAAGTGAACATACATACTAGGGAGACTTGCTGGACAGTGGATGGATGCTCCTGGATAATAGGGCAATGAAAGCACGGGAAAACGAGCGATGCACAAGCACGAGAACATTGTGCACGGGAAAGCCTCGCCCGATATGGAAATAGCTGGGAAAAGACTGTGGAATGATGCTGCAAACCCAGGTGATATGCACTGAAGTCTAATGTGTTGTAAGCCTGTAATAATGCGAATCTCTACACCGATCAGATCATAGACAAGATTCATCATGAAAGTCATTCAGAAGACTCGAATCTACATGAGGAATAGTATTAGTAGGCTAGCATATCTGGGTGAGTCTCACCGAAGTGAGACTTTTATATTCTTGCCAGTGTGCAAGAGAAACTGGGTTATGGAGAAGCATTCAAAAATGGTTAAGTAATCTATCATAGAGCCCTTTATATGCTTCAGCTGTAAATTCAATATTAGTAAATTGACTGTTCCTAAGTTTGTTCAAGGTGCAGCTGACAGCAGCAGCAGCCAAGCAAAATAGACTGTCCAGATTGTTGACATAGCAGTGGAGTTTGAGTTCTGTGACAGTGTCCAAGAGGACATGCCATAACACCTCATTTTGAGGAAGTAGGAACCAGACTCATCCTGACTGAATGTAAAGTTTGGTGGGAAAGTTCATTCACTAAGAAGTTCCTTGATTACATTTGCCCAATGCTGACATTTGTTGACTGTCGACTGTACTCCAGAACACAGTGGGTATAATATCACCTTGAAGTGTGCGATCCTTTTGCACATATTCATGAGAACTTTGCAGGTATTAGAGTGTCATATAGAGTGCTGACCAATTGTTGAGAGTCCAGTTATGTCCAAACACTGTTAATGTGTGACCAAAATGTCAGTCATTGCAAAAGCCTTGGGCATGTATACTGGCTTACATGCATGTTCATATTGTGTTGTAGCAGATTTTTCCAGCTTCTGTTGGACCCACAACTATCTGTCTGCTTTGTTTGATATGGATGTTGTTTTGACTGAATGTATCTTCATAGCTTTCATGGCGGACAAAACAATTTTCTGATATGCAGGGTTTGCTTGGTTATATGAAAGCTCTGATATGTCGGGTAAAGCCACGACCAGAGCATTGATAGACTGGGAGGGAACTGTGGATAGCTTCAAATTGAGGGGTGCAGACGGAGGATGTAAAACAATAGACTTGGAGGGAACTGTGGATGGCCCTGCCTCTGGGGGTATAAACAGAGGGGGTGATGCAACAGGCTGGGGCTAGGAGGGAACCATGAATGGTATTGGATCCAGAGGTGCAGACAAGGGATGTGAAACAACAAAATGGAGGGAACTGTGGACAGCCCTGCTTCCTGGGATGTAAACGGAGGGGGTGATGCAACACACTGGGGCTGGGAGGAAACTGTGGATGTGTCTGCTTCCGTAGGTGCAAACAGAAGAGGTGATACAACAGGCTGGGGCTGGGAAGGAACAGATTGCTCAGTGTCTGCTAGGAACATGGACAATGTTTTTGCTGTCAGTCTCTGAGAGCATGTCAGTGGTCAGTGATGCACCAAAAGCAAATAATGCACCATGAGTCTAACCCTCCTTGGTAGAAGCTGATCAATATACTCTGTTTGCAGTTGAATGCTGCAGTCCTTACGCTTCCTGTTGATATTTTGACCTGAGGTGCCCTTGTCTTCAAAGGTAGGCTCTTGACGTGGTTCATCACCATATTCAGGACCGACTGGTAATAATAAGTCATTATCCATAGACAGAACTAGCTGGCTAAAGTCTGGAAACAATGAGCTGATGAAGATGAGGAATCTAAACTGTAGTGTAAGTTGGTGCTAAGCTAAGCAAACACAGCTAGACCCAGGTGCAAGTGAAATCATCGTCCCAAGGGCAGCTAACTGAGTAAAGGGAAACCTCTCTTATAAAAAGAGGGACACCAAACTACTAATAGAGTGATAAGACTAATAGGCGCGCAAAGCACGAGGCAAGGGCGATGCAATATACGATGGATAGACACATGCGATGACATGCGAGTGTGAAAGGCGAAAGGCGAGATGTGCGACACGAAGGTAGTGAAGGCAAAAGACTAGCGAGCAAGAGAGATGAAAGAGAGACAAGGCGAGACAAGTGTTGACACCCCAACTAAGGTTGGCTGATGCTAAGGCAAATGCAGACAACTAATGCACATGACTTTAGATAGTTACTACAAACAACAAGTAAAATTCTCTAGTATCTAAGAACACAGAGAAAGTGGGCGGGAAATTGACCCAGTACATAAGTAATAGGGGGGTATAAGTAAAATAGCTAAGCGGCACTAGGCGTGCAGGTCTGAAGTGATGAGCCAAACAGTCTATAAATAGTACATGAGATATGTAATAGGGTCTCGGTTATGTGCAAAGTGCAGAGCCGAGTATTAGCAATGGAAACCAATTAAGCAAAAAGGGAATATGATGGGAAAACACACCAATGAACTTCTAAGGACATGGGATGGATGGACAGATGAGTGTGGATGCACGAAGTGCACGAACGCGCACAATATCTGCAAAAATGAAACAAGTGCGCTAATGCGCTAGACGTATCCTAAGGATTAGAGCTGGAGTTTGTAGGGAAAGTGAGAGAATTCAGAGGGAAGTGCCTGTGGAGACGCAAGTCTCTACACTGAGAGATTGACTCCTGTTGAGGATTGAAGGATATGCCAGATATCCAGGCGCCCCCAGGCCTGGACTGTAGTTGGACCATAGCTGTAGGGAAATAATATGATCATGTCGGAGACTGTGAAAATTGACGAGAAACTCATGAACAACTCAGACTGCTGCTGCTGGGAGCCAGAGCTGCTGGTAGATGCACTGGACTTGGGAGGCAGCACAAAGCCACTGCGCTATGGTCGCATGGGCACAGGCATCCATATGTCTAGTGCATATGGATTGGTAGTGATGGGGGAACTGAAGGTAAAGTCAAACTCATGATCGTCATTCAGAGGTAGCAGTGCCCCAAACTCAAATGAGTATATTACTGTGACTGTGACAGGTCATCTTGAGTCAATGTGAAGTTGACAATTTACATATTACCAGTGAATCTGACTCCGACCAGATCAGACTCTTCATGCACAGATTTCCACAATAGGAAACTTTCATCTGATGACATGAGGAGACTGAGTAGCCTGTTGCAATCTTCAATGAGGACTAAGTAACTATCAATGTCCAATCATCACTACCAAAATAGGCTCAAGAGCTAACATGTATATTCATACTTAGTCGCACTTGAAAATTTTCAATTGTTTCTTATTATCTAAAATAATAGATAATTGTGTTCATTGGGAGTCTGGTAACTGTGCAGATCTGAGTACATAATATTCCAGCACATAAGTTCTAAACTACACAGCCTAATGATTCCATAGGGGGCTGTGAGGCAGTTTTGGAGCATATCCAAACCATGCCTAAATCTTTGCCTAGTATGGGTAACAGTCACCACAGCACATGAGATTTGACATAAAATATTCCAGTTGAGTCCATTCTAAGTTTAGGTTCATACAATGTGTTTCTCTTACTACAATAGAACAGGTGATAATATGAGATAAGTAGGTAGGACCAAGGGTCAACTGATATAATTGTGGAATATGTTGAATAAAATATTGATTTCTATGCATGAATAGGCTGTGATTGTGCACATGTAGAAAGATGTCAATGATGTTGTAGAGATTTGGACTATTGCAGGCTTGCAACACATTATACTTCAGTTCATACCACTTGGGTTCACAGCACCAACTTGCAGCATCATTCCCTAGCCTTTTCCCAGCTATTTCTATATTGGGCAATGCTTTCCCACATCGTGCAACCTTCCTGTGCTCGTGCATTGCTCACTTTCCCATGCTTTCATTGCCCTACCATCCAGGAGCATCCATATACTGTCCAGCAAGTTTTACTGGTATGTATTTTTACATTTTAGTCAATATGGCACCATATTAGAGCATGGACCCTGACTTACATACCTTATTACATACATTATCTCACACTCGGCTCACTTAGCAAGACACATATATAGGTTCGCATTTTTCACCCTTTACTATACTACACTACACCTTAGTGGAGTTCCCCCATCATGTCCATAGCTAGAGTCAGAATCTATTACTAGTCTTTTGTTGTCATTCATTGAGCCCTCATGCATTGCTCATTGCATTTTGCATTTCGCGTTCCTGTGCTTCGCGTGCACGTCACTCACTTCACACAGCCATTGTGCAATTGTGGATTTGTTTTCTTTGCTTCCCCTTGAATTAAATGTACTTGTCCCTGCAAGTATAGCAGCCTAGGCATCACAATTGATCACTATATCAGCTTCTTGTGTCCCTCCTTTAGATTTATTATCTGACCTGGAGCTAAGTTGATTCATCTTCAACATATTATTACTTATAGAAGTGATCACTGACTTGTCTGAATCAGGGCCAACAGTGTGAGTTGACCATCTGCTTCTGTATGATATGATCTTTCATAAGATCAAGCTGAGTGTCAGTCTCATGGATAGATATCTTGTTGTGGCTGCTGAGTGTAGCAAAAGATTGGGCATCTATTTCAGTAGATGGCAGGTGTTTCTCAAGAAGTCTTCCCATCAGCACTATGGTTTCTTGCTCTGCCCTAACAAAGTCTTCTTGTGCTGCCTGAAGCATGAACTGATGGAGAGCATCAAGCCTTTTACTCTCCTCCCATGCCCAGTATGCCACAAACAGTCCAAGTATTGGCGCTCACAGACTGGCCTTCTTGTAGTGAACAACAAGGCAAAAAGATTGGGGGCCAAGTACATCCATATGCCTCAAAAACATATCTTTAGTCTAAAAGTATGATGTATATAATGAGTAATATATGTTTTCCAAAAAAAAAAAAGGGGGGGGGGGGGAGAACCCACCTTGCCCTTCTCTTCCAATGAATTATCAGAGTCAGAGCTGTCCAACATATATTCAAAGATATGCTGTTCTTGAAAAGATAGTGCCCAGTGATATGGATGGAAAGAACAATGATAATTGTTAGTATGATGCTGTTTAAGATACTGACTTGGTGTTGATGGTCCAACCTTGCTTGAAATACCAGCAACATAGTGTGCGTTGCCTGAGCGCTTAAAATCAGGTGTCAGGGGGAAGACATTGTCATCCATTTCTGAGACTGTGCTTGCTGCTGTGACTAGTTGATGAGTCAATCTATACTATAATATCACTATTTATCAATACCTGATCCTCCAGAAGAGGCAGGAGGAGTGCTTGGAGGAGAGCCTACATAACTAGAAGTGAAAGTTGGGAAAAAGGAGCATTGGAGAGGTGTGGATGGCTTGAAACATGCAGCTTCAATGCATGGAGTGGCACATAAATTCATTTTCAGTTACATAGAGTGTTAGGGAGTAGGGCACAACAAATGAGTGCATAAGAGGTAAATACCCAATCAGACTTTAAAAACACTTCACTGGAGAATTTTACTGGCTCAGATTTTCTGTGCATAAGAAGTGCCAACTATTACTTACTTAGGACAGTTACCAGGATTTCAGGAATAGTATTTGGGCTAGTAATAACCATTTTTGGTGTTTGTGGAGATTTGTTTGTGAGAGGAAATAGAAGTAGTTGATTGAATTACATAAAGTTGCTGTCCAATGCCATGAAGTCATAATACCTGTGTTTCTGATTTGAAGTACCCAGGCTGGCAGACTGCAACAGTTAGTACCTCCAATTTTTTTGGACAGCAAGATCATAATTTCCTGCATCAATCTAGCATATGCTAGGTGGCACACAACCACTAACTATGGCTGATGACAACAGCTGAGGTCATGGTCATTCGTAGTAAATGAGTTAGCCATCTGCCTTGGACTTCACCAGGGTTTATCACAGATTTCGGACTGTCTCTAATTCCACACTAGTCTGAGGGTCACCTGTGTTGATGCTTCAATGTATTGCGGCTTCCACAAGGCAGTATAATTTTGACTCATGATGACCAGTGTAGCAATGGTTGCGACGCTAGACTCGGAACCACAGTTTTTTCATACTCACATGAACACCCAAAACATACGCACACATGTCCAAGCCACTCCACATCAGATCCAGGCGCATCGGACCTTCAGACATCACATCAGCCGATTGCACTTTGCGCGCACTTGTCCATCCCGTGTCCTGTCCATCTGAACTAGCCTCACTAGGTGCGTAGTTATTCCCATGCATGTTATCTGACATTCGGACCGCATTATTACATGTCCGCAGCACCTCGTGTCTTATTACATAGGACATTGGACCCGAAATATATTGCTACTATCTTCACCTGTAGTATTCCAGATTTCTATGTACTTACTTAAATACTCTGTAGTGACCCGTAGCAATCATGATCCAGGAGTTAGGAGTCATTTCCCAACTCTGTGGATCACTCAGAATATTCTTGTAGTTCTTAGTTGCATTGCGAAATATTACCATTTATTCACTGTCATACTCCATCAACCATTATACTCACGCATACCGCTCGCAATCCGACACTCGCTATAAAGTTTCCGACCTATTATCGTGAAATCCGAAAGTCTGAAATCTTGGACATTGCACTTTGGCTTTGGACATCAGATAAGTGCCTTCAGACATCATCGGATTACCTTCGGACATTGTTTTGCAGCATCGGACATTTTGTTATTTGCATTACTGATACATTTTACTACTAATACCAATTAGCAATCCCTTTAGGATCAAACGCACTTGCTCTGCAAGTATAGCAGCATAGGTCATGCTAAAATCTACCTAAACATT